CTGCGAAGTGCCATTCTGCTCTGTGCTTGCACCTTGTTGGTTCCTGCTTGATTGTGTAGCCTTCCCCCTCTCAGCTCACAGCTGTGGGTAGGTGTGTTACCCAGCTTCCGCTATGAGTCTGGAATGGGGCTGTGCAATCCCAATGGTGGCAGGACAACCTGCCAGTGTTTCTCGCTCTGGTTGGCTCAGCTCTAGATCCCCAGCCCAGGGTCTGCAGAAGCCCCACTCTGCTCTGTGCACCCCACTCTGCTGTCCCCCACATGATCATGGAGTCCTCCCTTTCTCATCCAGTGGGGTTGGTGCAGTGCCATCTCTAGCTTCCAGCAATGGTGCTGTGCTTGTGCTGTGCACTCCTGCCAGCTGTCAGCAGGACAATCCGCCAGCATATCCTGCCCTTGCTGGCTCAGGGTCTGCAGAAGCCCCACTCTGCTCTGAGCATACCACTCCATTGATCCCACCAGTTTGCGGGGCCCTCCTTTTTCATTTCCAAGAGTGAAGAATGGTGTGGCCCCTGGCGTCTGGCTATTTCCCGGGTGCTTTGTGTTCCCGCTGGCAGCAGGATGACTGCCAGCAGATCTTGCCCCTTTCATCACTTTAAGCAATGTTCACCTTGAATTTTTAGTTGGGCTGATGCTTCCATCTGATTGGTACGACCCAAAATCTCACTGATTACTTTTCAGATGTTGAACCATCCTTGTGTTGCTGGGATTAATCCTGCTTGGGCATCAAGTGTGATTCATTTATGAACTTGGTTTGCTACAATTTTGTTGGGGATTTGTGCATGTATGTTCATCACAGAGATTTTGGTCTGTAGCTTTCTTTTTTTGTGACTGTTTCTGATATTGAATTAATGTTGGTCTCATAAACTGTGTTTGGTAATGTTCCCTGTTCCTCAATTATTTTGAATTGTTGAGGTTGTTAGGTATTTGTTCATCTTTGAAGTTTTGATAGAACTCACTAGTGAAAATCTCTGACTTGAACTTTGTTTTTTGGGAAATTTGGGATTACTGTTACAATGTATTTGCATGTACTTTGACTATTTAGGTTTTCTATTTCTTTCTGATTCAGTCTTGAGCGTTTGTATACGTCTAAGAATTTTTCTGTTTCTTCTAAGTTACTTAATTTGTTGACATGTAGGTGTTTAGTGGTCTCCTATGATACTCTGTATTCCTGAAATGTCAATTGTAACTTCTCTTTCAATTCTGATTCTATATATTAGAGGTTTTCTTTTTTTCCTGTAACCATACAGGAGGTTTGTCTATTCTGTCTAATTTTTAAACCTATGTTTTTTGCCTCCTTAATCTTTTGCACTTTGATTTCCTTTATTTCATTTATTTTTGCTTTAGTTTTTATTACTTGCTTCCTTCTATTTTTTTTAAAATTTCATTTGTTATATTTGTGGTTCTTTTAAGTTAAAGATTCCGTAGTTTGTTTGAACTCTTTCTTGATTTTAGGCATGGGCCTGTATTACTGTGTACTCTCCTCTTAGTGCAGCTTGTGCTGTGTCTCACTAAAAGGCGTGTCCTTATTGCCATTTGTCCTAAAGTATTTTTAATTTTTTGCTTAACCTAATAATGATTTAGTAGTTTCTTTTCAGTCTCCATGTTTTAGAGTTTCCTTACTTCTTTTATTATTATTTTATATTTTGATATCATTATGATCAGAGAGATACTTCTATCATTTCATTTCTAGGGACTTATTGACATTTGATTTCTGAGTCAAAATATGGTCTGTTCTTCAGACTGTTTTTTGCAATGTAAGAAAAATATTTACTCTGCGCTTTTTGAGTTTAGTGAACTATAAACATTTATTAGTTTCTTGTATTTTTTTTTTTTGTTTCTTGTATTCTTTTTCCTCACTTAAGGCTGTTGTTTCCTTGTTGCTTTTCTGCCTGGTGGATGTGCCCATTGATGAAAGGCGGGTGCGGAAAACCTTTACCACTGCTGAGTATCAGGTACTGCTACTAAAGTGTGTTCAGGTTTATTAACAGTTGCCTTAGCTATTTTGATGCTCCTTTATTTGATGCCTACAGTTGGTGATTTCTAGATCTTCCTGATGTGTGACTCTGTGTCTCTTGTTACCTTTTTTTAGCTGGAAGTCAATTTTATTTAATATAATTCCTCCTACCTTTTTATCTGGAGCACCATGTTTGTTTGTTTTTAGTTTTATTTCCAACCACTTTTTGTGAACCTGTTTATTCTTTGGAGCTGCTAGGGGACTACTTGAAGCTGTCAGAAGTTGGCTTTTGTTCTGTTTCAAACAATCCCTCTGCCTTTTTCATTTGCCAGTTCAGTGCAATTACTTATAAGGTGACTGTTGATACAATATGATTTACTCCTGTCATTTTTTGTCTTTAGTTTTCTGGTTTTACTTACTTTTTAAAAAAATTTCCTCTGCTTTTAAAAGGAATGTTCTTTTTAATATAGCTCATAGGGCAAGTCTAGTGCTTGCAAACTCCATCGTGTTTGTGTGGAAGGTCTTTAGTTTTCCCTCATATCTGGAACTGAGTCTCGTGGCTATGGTATTGTTGACAGAAAGTTTTTACAGTATTTTGAATATGTACTTTAATTCATTCCTTGCTTGTAGAATATGTCATATGGAAGTACCTTCATAGGTTACCCACTTTTTCCACCTAGCCATGTGTAATATTCTTTCTTTGTCTTGAACTCTTGGTAGTTTTATGGCTGTATGTCTTGGTGTGGGTCTCATTATATTTATTTAATAGGTGTAGTTTTATCTCTATAGATTTGTACATTTAGTTCCTTCTCTACATCAAGTTTTCTTCTGTCTTTGAATAGTTCTGCTCCCTTCTTTCTGTCTTCTCTTTCTGGAATGAATACCATTGCTCAATGAGTTGGCTGGACCTTGAAATTTTAAAAAATATTTTCCTCTTTATTCATCCCCTTATGTCCTTTGTGCATTATTATTTGATCTTTGGTCACATTATTATTTGATTATTTGGTCACATATTTGATCTTCCTTTTGCTCTATTCTGCTTTCAAAAGCTTTCTCCAGAAATTTGTATCATCTCTATTGATCTTTTTACATCCTTCAACTCTGTTATTTTATAATTTAAGGCTTCAGTGTCTACTTTAAGTTCACTAACTTTATTTCCCAATCCATTTATTTATTATTCTGAGTTTTATTGTGTATCTTTGATTAGTCTTCCATTTCCTTAAACTTACTTTGTCATGGCAATTTTGAAGTCTCTACCTGATAGGAAGATGCGATCTTCCATGTCTTTGTTCTTGTGTATTGGAGAGTTGTTCTCCTCTTGTGATTTCATTTTCCATGTTGATGTTGCTATTTGGTGTGTTTATTTGTGCCTATTTTGCTCTTTAGGTTTTTTATTTTAAGCAAGTCATTGTTGATATTAATTTAGAGATTTGACTTATTTTCAATTTCATTAGATGGTACTATAGTGATTTTAGATTTTGGACCTTTCTAGACTTCTGCAGGTCTACAAAGCTGATTTATGAGATGCTGTGTCATAGGGTGTGGGTGTGGAAGAGGGTCAGCTACCCTCTGGAGTATGCACTGTGGTAGGGGACATCGCAGCTCAGGTCTTTGGCACCACTGGCTGCCCACCTGTTCTGTTTTTAGGCTCTAGATACTGCATGTGCACATTGTCAGCGTGTTTCGGGACGTCAGCCCCAGTCCTGGGAGGGGAGAGTGGTTGAGTACTCCACACTGCCTTTGTTGTTTTCACTAGGGACGTGGTCTGCTGGGAACATCCAATTTGCCTGCATGTATTTCCCCTCAGTCAAGGATGTGTGTCTCCACAGCATTTGGCTAAGCTTCCCTAAGCTCAAGGGCCGGTTAAGTGGCAGAGCCAGCATTTGTACTGAACCTTCCCATCCTTGACCCAGACTACAAGTGTCTCCCCACCTACCTCCTTTTTTATTTTATAATATAATAGTTTATTTTTACATTATTTTGTGCCTTTTTCCATCTCAGTTGTAATCCCCGTGGGTTTTCCATCACCAGATCTCCCGTGTGCCATCACCATAGTCCAGTGCCTTCCCTCCCCCCACTGTTTTTGATCCTATTCCCCACTCCACACCTGTAAAATGTCTCTGGTATATAGTTGTTCATTATTATTATTATCTTCTCCCTTTGTCCATTATATTCCTGATATGAGTGAAACCATCCAGTATTCTTCCTTTTCTTTCTGGCTTATTTCACTAAGCATGATCCTTTCCAGTTTCATCCATGTTTCTGCAAAAAGCATGTACTTATCTTTTTTGATCGCTGAACAATATTTCATTGTGTATATGTACCACATCTTTTTATTTATAGCCATCTACTTTTGGGCATTTGGGATGATTCCATGTCTTTCCTATTGTAAATAAAACAGCAATAAACATGGGGGTGCACCACCCACCTCTTTTTAAATAAAGCATGAATGTCTTCTGTGACCATGTTGGTGATGACTTTCTTGTGTCTTATGTCCAAGAGCTTTTCCAACTAAGTTGCAAAGCACTATTTTTCTCTGGGTGCACTGTTCTACTGGTAAACCTAGATGATCATCTGGGGAATGAAGCGTGGAATGTCTTTTGATACCATCTATAACCTCTCAGGACCTCTTTTTGAAATGCATATTCTTGAGTACTTCCCAATATATTTAATCAGATCTAGGGAAGCCCCCACATTCTATGCTTACAAGCCATCCTGGTGATGATGGTACATGCTGAAGGTGGGAACCAAGGAGTTATTTGTTCAAGGAAGGTCCTGCTATCAGGTACACAAGTGAATGAGGAAGTATCTTTGACATTATTTCTGGACCATAGGTTGCAGCTTGGAGATCTTTCTCAGGTTCAGAATTGCCCCTGCTCAGTCTTTCAGTTCAGCTGCTCTCATTTGACGCTTTCTCTCAGCTGCCTGTGCCTTCCCGTTGCAGTTATGTGTTCCCTGCTCTTGGTGTGTGCTTCCTAAGCTTTCTATCTCCTACATCTGTGTTCACAGGTGATTTCCTGGTGGTTGGGTCCCCAGACACTATTATGGCAGAGGTGGGCAAGGACGCCACACTGCCCTGCTCCCTGCACCCAGCCATGAGTGCAGAGGACATGGAGCTGAGGTGGTTCCGGTCCGACACCTTGGAGTCTGTGTTCATCTATCAAGACCGGCAGGAGAAGAGTGAAGAGCTGACGTTCCAGTATGCAGGGCGGACCTCACTGTTGGGAGAATTACTCAGTGAGGGGGAGGCTGCTGTGATCATCCACAAGGTCCAGGCTTCTGACAAAGGGCTGTATATCTGCAGCTTCAGAGATGGAGACTTCTATGAGGAAGCCAGCATGGAGCTGAAGGTGGCAGGTTGGTGATGTTATTAAATGTCAGAGTTTTGGAGTTTGGAGCTGGTAAGCACCCAAGGGCAACATAATATAGCTTCTCATTTCATTCATGAGGAAAAGGACTTGTTAATTCATTGTTGCATTAAATGTAAAAATGCAGAGCACCACTGTTCTAAACACTTGGGTACATCAGTGAACCCAACCAAGTCCTTCACTGTGAATTTATATTTTCAAGTGGAACATAGAACAATGATATAAACACACATGTTACAGATGATTAGTCATGATAAATGATGAGGCTAATAAGCTAAAAGCTACAGGAGAACTGGGTCAGCAATGTGGGAGTGAAGGCAGGTTGCAGCAGTAGACAAGAGCTCAGGATGGTCCCACTGGAGCATCGCTTGGTCCTATTGGCTCAGCATTTCTTTTCTCAGCAAAAATGGTCCTTAGTGCAGAGCAAAAACTTAGTAGCTATCAGGGAGTTAATTTCTGCACATTAAAAAAAAATAGGTCATACAGATTGCTTTATTGATTTTTAAGATTTAGTTATTTATGCATAAAGAACTGGGATATAGGCCAGGAGTGCAGAGGCAGTGATAGGATTCACGAGAGACAGAGTGGGGAGCAGAACAGGCAGATGGACTAAAACACAGCTGGCGGGCAGCAGACAAGACAGGATAGGTCTGCTGCGCCATGTGGCTGAAGAGGTTGTCTATAGCTTCGTAGTGCTGCACTTTAACCCCTTGTACCACTAGAGAGGGCCCTCCGCATAGTTTTATTTAGAAATAATTAATATACTTAGATATAGAATAGATTAATTGTGTAAATCTAAAGCATAAACATGTTGATTTGATTTACATGGACAGTGAAATGATTGCTACAATACATTAACGATAATCCATTTTCTAATACAGATACAATAAAAGAAGCAAAAGAGGAAAAATTGTTACATCACACACACACACACAAAACACAACCAGCAACAAACAGTATTAAGAGTCACTCCTAACAAGTTTTCTACATACCTCACAGCACTGGTAGCTATAGTCATTATGTTGATAATTATAGGGAATCAAATTTCTTTTATGTATGTGTGTATACATATATTACATCATTGTTCATTTCTGTGCAGTATTTGTTTTCTCCTCTCAGATGTAGTCCCCACAGATTTCCTACCACCTATTCACCCATGAGCCATCACATAGCCCATTTTGCTCTTTCTGCCCCTGTCTTAATCCCTCCCTCTCGCTCCTGCTGAATGTCTCCAATTCATAGTTTCCTGCTAGTTTTATTTTTCCCCTGATGCCTCACTTTTCCTCCTTATATTCCTCCTATAAGTGACACTATGTGGCATTTTTCTTTTTCCTTCTGGTTCATTTCACTGAGCATAATCCCTTCTAGCTCTATGGAAATGGAATGTCTAGGCAAAGGGAACAGTTGTATAAGACCTGGTGTGAGTGTGCACTTAGTGTGTTCTGACTCACCTGCAGTCCCTGTGGAAAAGAGGAGTCATGGTTATAAGAGATGACAATAGTGTTGTAAAATGATGTCATGGATCCAGAATACACAGGTCGAGGGTGGGTGATTAATGCTACCAAAGACCATATACAAACTCACCAGGAAGTAGACTCTGGAGCTGGGACTATTTTATCAGGCCCTTTCCATATGTCTCTTTAGCTTAGAGGAGGAAGGACGAGGGGTCCAGGGAGCACGGTGATTTTGGTAACAGTGGTTAAATTCATGGATTTGTGGTTTGGGGCCTTGCGGGCAGAGTCTGTAAAGACTGTGAGGGGAGCAGAAAGGAGAAGGGTGGGCTGGGCCTGGCCCCCGGCAGGTGGAGAAGGCTGTGTGCTGTGTTCTTGTGTTTGGATGTGAAACTGTTGAAAGCTTTGAGCATAACAGGGCTTAGAATGATGGCTCTGGAGTGTTAGGAGAAGGCAGGGGAGAGAGTCTGGAGGTGTGGAGAGCAGCTATATGGAGAGGAGGGTGCTTGAGTTTGCACATGGCAGGGGGTGGATGGAGGTCAGTCATAGATTTAGAAATAAGACTCTTGGGTGAATATAAGGACACAGAGTATTTAAAGGGAAGAGAAGGAATTATAGAGACTTGCAAAATTGTCAACGTATCTTTTTTATTTTATATTAGGATAAAAATGTGTACCAGTTAGCTAGCACAATAATGATGTTATATAACAAACAATCAAAGA